CATGAGTCATCAACCTTCCCCCGCCCCCAAGCGAAAAAAGAACCATACATCTTATGCAACTTCTGAAGGAAACTATGTAGGGAAAAGTGACTCAGTACCTCGGATTCTTGGCTGCAACAGACCATAAGAACCAAATAATACAAAGATCCCAGAACCTCCCAACACAAACTCAGCCAAAGCCAATTAAAACCTCACATCACAACAAAAAATGTATTACCAATTCTTGCAGCCATGAACTGTAATGGAATGGTTTTGTACACAGGTTCTCAAAGGATAACTTTATAAGCATCTTCAATGGCAAGAGCAGAACATATATAGCATATTCAGGGAGTACATAAGATTAAATAGGGCATAAATTTCATGATATGAGCATTGCAAATATATGAAACTTCGGACTCAGTGTGATCTTACCAATATGACTGTGCATTACACTGTTCTTAACTAAGAAAAATCATGAGACCTTTCTTTGAAAAGGGCTTCCACGCAACAAAAATTTCTCTCCCTCTCTCAGAGACACATGACAGAGATTGCGCAGCAGATAAGATGTCATACTTATTTTAAACTACAACATCCTATAGAGTTGTTATACAGTGCATATTAATATTTCACTTAAACAGCTTGACTCAACCTCCTGAAATGGATCAGTTATCAATCCATGGTCACAGACCAAGATTGTCATAAGTAACACACTTTAGTATTAACCTATTTTATGAACAAATGGGAAAGCTATCAACATCTCAGCAATTCTCTATGACCAAAAATGCACTGCATAGATGATCCAGAGTTCAACAGTCACACACCTTCGTGTAGCCCCGTAAGTGAGTCAAGCTTTCAGGAACAGTCCACTTCTTAAAGTGGCCAAGAGCAACCTCGAGGTGGTACAATTTTGGTGCCAAACTCAAATCAACGGCAGTGATCTTTTCCCCAGCGATGAAAGGCCCCTGATTCAAGGCTCCAAAAAAATCATATATTTTCAACATCGCAAACATGATAAAATCATTGTTCCTCGAAAACAAAAAGGTTAAAAATGATCTTATACGTTAACAAAGGGTTATGTTTAAGACTTTGTGAAATTACATGTCCAGCAAGATGCTCATCAAGTGCCTTTAGTTCATTAATTAAAGCCTGCTCCGAGCCATCACTGGGATCCTTGCTCTTCAGAAATGTGAAAAATGCCCAAAATATTTTTGATCCGCTGCAGTACCCAATTAGGTGGAGAATCAAAATTTCAGTTGATAACGAATCACAGGAGTCAAGCAAGTAAATAAGGGAAAAGCCAATGATTGGATAGAAAAAGAAAACTATTTTCTTCTCTCCTTTTATACTTTTTAAAGAAGGTGCAAAGGGAGACACACAATTCATTAGCCAAAAAATAAAAAAAATGAACAGATGACCGCCCAAAACAAAGTCCTGTTCGTGGCATTTACAAGCTATTAACTTTGTGTGAGATGTAAGGAAGTGGTAATGCATTTTGATTTCCAGGGGAAACTTTTAGGTCACGTTACTTGTAGAATAAGTGTTAAGTTTTTCTAGATTCATGTATTTTTATGCATATAAACATAGACAGCCATTGAAAATGAAAATAGGATTTCCAGAAAGAAAATGAAAATATAGCATGAATGGGGAACGAGTAAAAAATTATCTTCAACTCACTTTATATTTCCATTCTAATTTTCCAAACATAGTTTTCACATTTTTACCATTAAACAAAAGCTTAGCTTCTCGAATCACCTTTCAGTTTTCCGCGCGCAACCTATCCTACCAGGGCAGAAAATATGCAAAGAAGATAATTGCAGACCCCAACAAACAAAAAACATAATATTTGAAAAGCTAGCTACCAGATTAAAGTATGAAAGAAAAACAACAAATCATAAACAGCCAACAAAAACAGAAGATTCCAAAAATTTTGAACTTCGCACAATTATGCCATACATCAAAAGACAACAAAACCATAAACAAAACAGCAAGTCGAGAGAGAGAGAGAGAGAGAGAATCATACACAGAGGCAACTTCAGGAGGAGAAATTAAGGAAGGCTCAGGAAATTTCTCCTCAATCATTCCAACAATAACATCAGAATCAGGCACCCATTTGTCATCAAACTTCGCCACAGGCACTTTCCCTTCTGGGCTAATCTCCAAGAACCTAATCCCCATCCCCAAATAGAACAATAAACAAAACCCATTAGCTGTACCATTCAAAAAATACAAACCTCGCCATTGAAGATTTCTGATCTTACCATTGAGGCTTCTCACTGAGATTGACCAGGTGGGTCTTGTAGGGAACCTTCTTCTCTTCCAAAGTCAGGAGAACCCTTTGGCAGAAGGGACCTGAAAACACGAATCATGGCATAAAATTCAAGAATAATGTCAATCAAAACACTCAAATGCATGCAATTATGGAAGAAGATAAACTTACAGTCTCCAAGAACATTAGGGGCAGCGGTAGCAGCCTTGACACAGACCTCCACAGCCATTTTGAGAAATTTTTGTTGCTAGTGATGTGTTCAATTCTTATTCTACAGAGACCTTGGAGATAAAAGAGAGAAGGCAGCAAATAACGAAATGAGAAAGGGGTTGGCCTTGATGGGGTATGCGTGGGTTCTAAGCTTGGAATTTACTGGTTTGGTTGATAAATCAATAAATGCCCGAAGAAAATTGACCGGAAAGTCCCTTCCAATATTTCATGATTTAAAATAAAATTTACTGCTCTCTCCTTTTCTTAGTAATTAAATCAAAAATGGAAACTCTATAAAAAAAAAAAGGGAACTAAGATAGAAATTGGCTCCTGGATGTGATGGCGAACAAAGCCGCTATTTAAGCCATGTTCTAAATTTGAACAAAGACGATGGTTTATTAATTAAAATTTGTTTTATTTGAACATCATAACTTAAAATTTTATTAAGAACATATAATTTATTATAATTAAATATTTAATTTATTAATATAATTGTAATAATTAAATTTAATTAAATATTACAAAATTTATTATATTTTTAAACCAAAAAAAAATTCATATAAATATATTTCTTTAATTATATTACTCATCAACAGATAAATATCTGATCTAATTTTTTTTTTTTACGGGAGAATACTACATGCGATTGAGTCATATACAATGTGCATCAATAATTTTGGACCATTAGATTGTATAAAAAAATATTTCAACTATTTAAAAATATTTTTAAAAAAAAATATCATGAAAAAATATTATAGATCTTTTTAAACTTAAGGTGCATTTAATAGTTAAATTAAAAGCATAAGATTAATATATTATTAGTAAAATCAGTAGTTAGTATTAAGGTATATGAATAAAAGTACATAATTATTATATTATATTTTATTTTTTAAACTTTGTTAGATTAATAATTTTGATTATAAGCAACTTATGAATATATATATATATAATAATCTATTTTTTAATTTGTTTTATTGTAAGCATTTAAAATTTGTACGGTAGCTATACAAATTTTATCATGCACAACCGCACGAGATTGATGATTATAATAATTTTAAATTTTATAACATAAAAATTTATATGACATTAAACGCATGAAATTATACTAAGACAATAAATTATTATTTACTTTAGTCTTGTAATTTGTTTTTAGATAAATTAGATTTAAACGTGATATATTAAATCAAGTAAATAAAGCAATTACCATAGGTTCAAAATTTTGTTTTTTAAATTATTTTTATTGATATTTAGTAAACTTATTATCATGTTCTAATGAGCTTTAGAATTTTTAATTCGGATTCCATTAAATTTAAATTCAAGTTAAATTCTATCAATTAATAATAATGAATATCTATTATTAATATATATTTTTTAAAACAGTAATTAAATACGTATCACACGTACCAATTATGTTATTATAATATGATAAAAAATAATAAAATAATAAATTATTTTGTTATATAAAATAAAAACATAAAAATTTTAGTTTATCAAAAATAGAAAAGCAATAAAAATAATGTACCTATTTATAATTATCTTAATATTGATCGCATATATATAATTTACCTTAGTTTAAAATAAAGTTAGAATATAAAATGCAATATAAAATAAAATTTAAATAATATATTCATAATGCAGATAAAAATTTGAAATCTATTTATTTTGTAACACCCAAGTATTTTTAATTTTATTCTTATTATTTTTATTTTTCTTTTTTTTTGTATTTGAATTTTTTTAGATTTAATTTAATTTAATTTAATGAAAATAAAAATAATAATAATGATAAAATTGGGTAAAAATATTATTTGAATTTAATTGAAATTGATTTTGAAAAAAAAGAGTGAAAATTTAGATTCTGGAGGTGTTTTTGAAAACAAAATCGAAACCCGGGGGTCAAACGCAATTTAGAAAAGTTGTGTCACGTCAGCACTCACGTCAGCAGCCACGTCAGCGGCCCGGTCAGCAGCCCCGGCCAACCAGGACACGCTGCGTGGCAAGGAAACGCTGACACAGGACGGGCCACGTGAGCGATTCGCGTGCACGCAATCGGACGGCCCAGATCCGTTCCCGCGCGCACGGACGGCCCAGATTAAACGTGCGCACAAACGGCCCAGATCAAACGTGCGCCCGGACGGCCCAGATTTAATCCTAATTAGATCGCGATCGGACGGTTCAGGTTTAATCTTGATGGACGGTTGAGATTAAAAGGCAAAGAGTATAAATAACCCTACCCACACCTGACCACAAAACCATAGCCGCCAGTGCTTCGCCGAAGAAGAAGAACCAGATGCTGGAGGAGCCGGCTGCCGCCACCTGCCGCTGCACCGGAGAAGTTTCCGACCACCAATCGAGGTAAATTTTCTCTCCTTGGCTCGTTTTTCGATACTGAG